ATTGTGATTGAAAACCCCTTCCACCTGAAGTCTGTGGATAGTTAATACAATGTTAAACAAAAATCTGCACACCAGTCAAGCCATAAGACTTGCTTTTCCCACAAAAATCCCAAATCTGCAGTGATGTTACAACCGCAAAGGATTCTGGGTGGGCATATGCAAATTAGTTTAACAAAGAATCACATTTTTGCCTCATTCCATTTTAAACATGGATTCCTTTTAATCTGTGTTTGCAGTATACAACTGGTTGGAACACAATTTAGGAAAAGATGCAAAACCAGTGACACCACTCATGGACAGCTGTTTCGTTGTCAATGCAACTCTTCAGCATGAGGTTGGTTACTGGTTTGCTTATTGAGGCTTGGTAGTGCTTGGGAAGCAAAATCCAAATAGGTTATGGTGGGGAAAAATTGTGATTGAAAACCCCTTATTTCTGTGGGAAAAGCAAGTCTTATGGCTTGACTGGTGTGCAGATTTTTGTTTAACATTGTATTAACTATCCACAGACTTCAGACCGCGGTATGTACGCCAGTGCATGCAGATACACATACACTTAAAGGACCACTACAGAAACTTAGATCACATCAGCTCAATTAAGTGGTCTGGGTGCCAGGTCCCTCTAGTTTTAACCCTGCAGCTGAAAACTGCTATGTTTAATCCAGCCTCTAGTGGCTGTCTCATTGACAGGCGCTAGAGGAGCTTCCGCGATTCTCACTGTGAAAATCACAGTGAGAAGACGCTGAACGTCCATAGGAAAGCATTGAGTAATGCTTTCCTATCTGTGGTTTGAATGCGCATGTGGCTCTTGCCACGCATGCGCATTCGGAGCTGAGAGGCGGATCGGGGAGGAAAGATCCCCAGTGCCAAAGGAGTCCGGCGCTGGAGAAAGGTAAGTGCTTGAGACACACACACTCACGAACAGACGCATACACACTAGCTAACAGACACACACATTTACTGACAGATACACACTCAATGACAGACATAGATACACTCCCTTACAAAACACATACTCACTAACAGACGCACACAAACTAACACACTCAGTAACACACTCACTGACACACACACACTAACACACACTCTAAAACTAACACACACACACTAACAAGAACACACACACTAACACACGTTTAAAAAAAAAAATTTTAATCCCCCAGCCTCCTTACCTTTTGGAGAGCTGAGGGGATTCCCTGGGGTCCAGTGGTGTCACCCGGCAGGCAGGCTGGCAGGCGCGCGAGGGAGCACTCTCCCCTGAGTGCTTCCTCTTCAGCTCCCTTGCGCGCTGCGTAGGGATGCCGGCGCCGGAAGATGACATCATATTCCGGTTCCGGTATCACTGCGGTGCGCGAGGGAGCTGTAGAGAAAGCACTCAGGGGAGAGTGCTCCCTTGCACGCCCGCCAGCCTGCCTGCCCTCCCAGTGATACCAGGGCCAACCTCGGGAGGACCTGAGGTGGCCGGCTCCTGGGCCCCCCAGGAGAAGAGGCTGGCCACAGTGGCATACATACCGGGTCGCAGGGCGGCCGGGCCCCCTGGTGGGCCGGGCCCGGTTGCAACCCGCGACCCAGGTATGTACGCCACTGTTTCGGTGCATCCCTGCTTCCAGTCTCTGCACACAGCACTGGAATGTCAATGTACTGCTTGGAAGTTAGCAGAGCACTCACTAAACCCAGCAGGCTTACTTCTGGCCTGCTTACAGGGAGAGCAATGTGGCTCCTGGTTACACACTCTTGTTCTGCCTCTCCCTTCTGTTTCAGAAGGTGTTCAGCTGCATCCCCCATAACAACATGAGGGGACAGTTGCAAAGCTAAAATGGCTGAAGTGTAACTGTTACAGCAGCCTATATGTGCCCTGTGCCCTCTATGCTCCTTCCCCTTTCAATATCCACCAATCTATACAGCCTT